TCAACCACAAGCGTGCAGTGCCCGTCAATAAACCAAACACTTGCATCATCGGCATCAATGAGGGACACGAGCGGGTCATCAACTGTGATGCTGCGACCACACAGGTTGCAAGACCATTCCCCTCGCCACCCGGTTTGAACACGGATGCCGGTGTCATTTGTGGTAAAAACCCGAGTTGGCGACCATTCCATTTCACGTGCATGCACTGGGGCGTCCCATGCGGACATGCGAGCACAGCACAGTACCAAAATTCGCTGAGGCGGCGGCGGCATGCCGTTCAACATGTCTGGTTCATCTTGGTGGGGTAAAGGTTCCCAAGTGTTCTGAATCGACAACCCTGCTTGCTGTACGGTGACACGTCTCCTGCAACACCTGGCCACGGTTCTCTGCAGACGGGACATGCTGGAGCTTTTGACCGAATGCGCACTTGTACCGCACAGAAGAGGTGCATTTGAGTGCTACATCTACAGGGCCATGTCCACGTCGCATCACCCGATGCGCGCAGGGGCAATTGACACAAAGCACAGCTTTCGACCTCAGGCGGTGTTGCAGGATCTAATTGCGTGAGCTGGGACACTGAGGCACCAGATGGCCAAAGGTCACTTGCCACGCGTGTGTCTGCCGGCGAGACTGAACGGGAGAGCATGCCACGGGCTTCAGGACAAACAGGGAGCGGGCTTCGAGCTGCACTGCCCCCGCGCATCAAGCGCACAGGGGTGGCGCTGCGACGGTGGCGCACAATTGGTGGAGTGCGAGACATGCTGCGACGCATGGCTGTTGTATGGCGAAAAACCACTTCACGCTCTGCGCGGCCCTATGCGGCCTTGGCCAAGACATGCACCGTTTTTATTAAATCCCGCTCGGTAGCGGAGCGAAGCAACGACAGCGCACACAATGGCTCCACAAGGAGAGAAGAGTAACACAACAACAATGCTTGCTTCGAGTTGTAAACCCCGCTATGTCAGCACCGATATCCTTATGCCAGATGCTGCTTGCCAAGCAGGCAAACGCATCCGTGTAGAAGACGGCCAGTATGCCGGTGCTGCGGTTCCAACACTCCGAAAGCACAGCCAACGGGTAGAAGCCCGCACGCCACACAGGATACTGCCAGAAAATTTTCGCTCCTGGGGCTGCCCCAGCCTTTTGCATGCCACGGCATGCCATTCTTTTCATGCCATTTCACGCCAGAAAGTGTTATTCATGCGCCTGGCGTGCTGGTCGTCTGAGTGCATTGCTGCTTCCGCGTGCATGGCAAGCTCCCGCACGCCATGACACATCAGCACGCCCGTCTCATTCCTTTCTCGATGTATTGGGCGGACCACATCCTGTATGGATGCAAGACGTGGGAGATTGGAGGTGAGAAGACCAAGAAGCGTTGTCGTGTAGCAGTTCTCAGAAAAGGGCAGTGCTTCCATACTGGGCGATGTTGAAGTTGTGTGGAGGTGAAAAAACTGTGTGGATTGTTTTCTTGTCGGCCAGTGGGATGGGCATGCGTGGCCGCTTTCTGCGAAGCAGGAAACCTATCTGTGGGCTGCGGACAACAAGGACAAGCATTGCATCCAGAGTTGCAGAGCTGTCACGTATCCGGACACTTTTGCGTGGGGTTTACAAAGCCCGAGAACGTACTAGACGCCGGTCCCTTTCAAACGCCTCGGCCACAGAGGACAAATACGAGAGCATAGTAACTGGCAATGTCGCCTCGCAGTGGCCGTCGTTCTTTTGATCCTTATTTATTTTTTGAAACCCCTATCCCACCGAACCCTGTCCATCGCAAGACGCAAGGGGTGCAAACAAGAACAGCTCCGGGTTGACCTCACTAAAATTTCAAACCGTGTCAAACGACAAACCCGAGAGCCTCAAAAAACGGCTCCAAAGCGCAGAGGCGCAAGAGGCAGAGTCGTTGAGGCGGGAAGTTGGCGCTGAGGCGCCGAAAACATTCAACCCCAAAACCTAAACTCATGGCTCATGCGTTCAGAGTCTTGGGTTTGGGTCTATGGCCGAGAGTGTAAAGTTTGAGCTCAGGATTGACCTGACACCCGTCCTTCGTTCCATGTATCTGTCTGTCTTTCTTTTGTTTTCTTGCCTGTATATGTCTTTCTTTTTTCTTGCTGTCTTGCTGTCTTGTTGTATTTCTTTATTTGATTGTTTATTTGTGGCTTTGGGGCCGCGGGGGCGCGATGCCGCAAGGCCGCGTGAGAACAATACTATTCTGAGGCTTTGGGCTGGCCCTGCGCTTGGCTCCGTTGCTTGAGTTTGCGGACTTGGCTCTGGGCTCTTGCCCGGCCTTTGTCTTGAATTCTGAGTGGGGATCGGCTTTGGACTCAGGGCCGCCTCTGGCTTCTAGCTGGCTCTAGGTATGGCTCTGACTTCACTCTGTCTCGGGCTCTGATTTTTCCGGACAGGGTGCAAAAAAAACCAGACAGGGAGAGGAAAAAAACACTGCATGGGCGACAGGGTTTTTTTCTTGTCCCTGAAATGCTCTTTTTGGCACCTGGATGCAAAGGGCTGGGTTCTGACCCTGACAAGGCTTTTGACCTGCCTTCTTCGTCGGGCAAAAAAAAAAACCGGCAAAGAGTTTGCTGCGGCTTTGGGTAGGGTTTGCCCGGCTCTAACCGTGTCCTGCTCTTCAAATCTCCAAAAAGTCCTGACGCAGCTGAACTCGGGCTTTCTTCTAGACTTGCAGGAGGGGGCACAGGCCCTCAAGACCCTGGACAATCCCTTTAGTGGCAAAGAGAGCTTTTTCTGGCCCCCCCCCACAAGCCTGCAGTGACTGCACCAAGGGCAATAAGGGACGTGGGGGGGTGGGGGGAACCGACAGAGACCCTTGACACACGGGGACGAAAAGAGCCCTTCAAACCGAGTCCAAAAAAACCCTACGGGGACAAAAAAAACCCAGCCCATTTTTTTCGCGGATCGTTTTCCGCAGCACGCGTCCGTGGCTGTGTGCACCTGCGCACGCTGGCGGGCGAGCAAGCGGCAGGAAGGTGGCTGACTCAGCCACGTAGCGGCCGCCGACTTCAACGCCGAGGACAACAAGGCGGCAGTGGCGCGCTGAGCGCACTTAAGGATAGGTCTGATGTCGCTTGCGGCACGCTGCGGCGGCGACTGCGTGGCCTGGATGCCAATCAGCTCCGGGATGGGCCTCGCCCAGCGCGCGTGAGGGGCGAAACGAGGGTGGCATCGAGGGCGAGCTGGGAGCCGTGCCACAGACAAAAGGATGTCAGCGATGTTCGCGTATCTCGACGACATTTATATGATATCATCGCCGCGCCGGAGCGGGTCCCCAAGCGTTCCAGCGGACGCTGTGGGCCCACGGCCCCAAACGATTGTCGCAAAACGCAAAGTCTGGAATGCTGCAGTCACTGTACAAGCCTGCAAGGCGAGGCTAATGCCGCCGCATGGTCCGCGATGCCAGCCAGGGCTCACTGTTTTTGACTTGTTTTTTTAGCAACCGCTTGCGCATGCTTTCGCGCAACTGATGCATCACGCTGCTTACTGGGCCCCTTGGATGGACACATATGGACACGCTGCCGGTCATCCTGGCTCGCGTGCCCTCAACTGCGGAGTGTTTGCTCATCGCTTGGGGCGAAAACGGAGCTGCACGCTTGCCTTTCCGACATGACGTGCCTGCCGATTTCCTTCGCGGCTGGCAGCGTGGAGCCTCCAGAGCCAACCGCTTGCTGCCAACTCCACCACCGTCGGGCCCAAGCTCAGTCAGGCAGCTGCTTAGCTGTGCGCGCGTGATTCGCGCACTTTCACGAAGCGGGGTGGCTCCGCAGACGACTATGTATAAAAGGCGCCGGACTGCTGGGTCTCCGCTTGCAGCTGTAGTGCGTGCGGGCGAGCGAGCAATCCGTGCGGGGGGCGGCCAAAGCAGCCGACGTGGCCTCCGACGAAGAGCCACTTGGCGTCACAACCTGCGCCGGAGCATGATGTTCTGCTTGTGATCGAAGGAGTGCTCGGGCGTTGGGCAGCAAGGCAGGCAGTAGCACGCGCTCGCGGAAGTGTAGGTTGCCTGCATGCGGCCAATCGCCGAGGCCCGCATCGGCCGGTCGGGCGCCCCCACCCCCGCCTAGCTCCCAGACCCCCAGGCCCAGAAGACGCTGATACGCCGAAACAACCCCCAGGTCCAGAATACCCCGATACGCCGATACGCCTGTCGTCCCACCAGAAACTGATACGCCGGTCGCTCCCTGTCCCGCGCTGATGATCACTCCCGGGCTTTTTTCCGGGTTGGTGTCGGTGTATCGGTTCCCCCTGTATCGGTGTATCGGTGTATCGGCGTATTTCAATTTTTCGACCCCCCTCTGCGGTCAGACTGCTATGTTCTACAACATCTGTCACACGGCTGTGTCGGTTCAGCGCGCTTTTCAGTTTTCTGAGAAGGGCAACGGATGTTCGTCGGCACGCGGCCTACTGCGACAGTGGAAGATTTTGCGCGCTTTGATTAGCGAGTGGAGTAGAGGCTCGTCAGGGACGGGCACATGCCTGACGTGCAGACATGTACAGCCTTGACTGCTGTGCTCGTAGGTGTGCCGTGCCTGCTGGATTTGTTGCTCTGTCTGTTTGTCCCGTGACACGGGGTTTCTAGACTGTTTCTACCTTTCTTGTGCGACTTTTGTAGTCGTTGGGACTTACGTCGCCCTCGAGATGCCCGACGTAGGATTTCTCACGAAAACCCGCTGATGCGCTGAGTGCTTCTTGAAACAAGGTGTCTCAATCTATATGGGACTTCAGCACTATATTACTATATCAGCATCACCATCACTACCCAAGCTGTTCGGAGCCATTTGTGATTCGTGCGTCACCCTCCTCTGCACAGCCGCAAGGTTCATTGAGCAACCCGATCATTCACGACTCTTGACATCTTCCCACATCTTTTTGGGGCCACGGCTCGTGGGCCTTCTGCAACTCGCACACTTGCCTTCCTGCACATTCCGTTTGGATTGTGCTGCCCCGTGGTTTCACATCAAGGGCTCAGGCTTCGTGTTAGCTGTGCATTAACGCTGGCTTTGTCGCCACGATGTTGCCCGGGACAGCAGCAGCTGTGACATGGCAGCAGGATCACCCGCGCCTGCCTGCACCTGCCTCTCTGTGGTGGGGTTCTGCTGCCGCAAAGCAGCGGCGGAGTTGTGCACACGTGCAGTTTGGCTGAGATCGAAGGGCACATGGCTTTTCGGTGCACTGGGCTTTGCAGGATTTAGCAACTCCCTCTTTGCAGCCAGCCGCTCCAACCTCTGCCCAGCATCCTCATAGAGACAACGTGATCGCTGCGCCGCAACTTCGGCTGCCAAGTTACCGGAATATGTTCCGTGCACGAATGCCTCGGAAAGTTCCCGTGCTTCTGCTGCCAGGTGCATTTGTTCCTTGGCATAAAGCCGCTGACCTCGTTGCATCGCATCTTGGTACAGTCGATCATACGCAGTCCCGTCATCTTCACCCTTGTGCAACGAATGCGTCTTCATCCAATGCTCTTCCTCCATCTCCTGCATGCGCGTGGAAGTAAGCTGAAACCAAGACGAAAGGACTGGAAACAGCGCACAGCCGCCCTATCGCCTGCAAAAGTCGACGGTGTTGCAGTCGTTCTGACTGGCGTTGTGCAGAAGCATAAAGCTGCTCCCATCGCGGCTCCAGTGTGGGCACCTGCGGTGACATCCTGCAGACGTCAGAGTCTTGCTTCAACCGGGAAGCTTCTGTCTTGCCACTTCCGCCCTTTCCGCCCTTGCGCTGCTCGTACAATCGTTGACCTGCAGCCTGTGCTTCAGCTGCAGAGCGAAGGCAGACCTGGATGGTTGCGGAGGTGCTGCAGACTGTGGCACATCACCCTCATGATGCGGCAACTGCAACTGCACTCAGGATCTTGAACTCTTCATCGTGGAAAATCGTGGTCCAGTGCTGTCAAGAAGCAGTTCTGCTTTGTAGCACCTGGGCACGCTCCTGCTCTTCTTCTTCAGCGGCCGCTGCACGCTCCTAACTCGCGATGACAATTGACACATCCAAAACTCATTTAAAGCTCTGCAGGATTATCCTTCAAGTCGTGCAGTCTCCGGTTGTGATGCTCATGCAAGCGATCGAAGACCTTGGAGCTCTTCGATGGCCTACGGCCTACTTGCCTGAGTTATCCTGCGCGACTTGGGAATCCCGGAGTGCCATCAAACAACTCGATCCTATCACCGAGTGTAGAACAGTGGCGGAGCTCGACGTGAAAGACCGCCCGATGGCTCCCTGCACGATGCAAGCTGTAAGCTTACACTGCTATTTGCCAGGCGTTCGAAAGTCATGTTGCTGAGCCTGTGAGCACGCTGCTCGCTGCAGCCTGCCCAGGGCACGCTGTGGAATTCATATGACTTCTAAGATACTTTGTCAGCACATGGCATGTCAATGCCCGCTGCTGGGCGTCCAAGCTTCTTCTCGCTGCGCACCGGGGTCTCTGCCTAAGACGCAGATTGCTCCAACTGCTGCTCCTGAACATTCCTGAACCAAACCCCTGCCATGCTGCATGACTTTCAAGATGTCGCAAGTTTCGCTCCATGCCGCAGGAATCGCTTGATGTTATCCCCTGATCAGTGACCCTTCGTGTCCAAAGAACTGTCGGTCCACCATGAACCTTCTTCTGGTATCCCAAAATATTACTGGTGATAGGCGCGGTCAAGGGGGTTGGGACACCAAAGCGATCCAGTGAATGGTTTTGTGCGCTATGGGTTGCAGAATTGATGGCATGCCCTCCAGTCTACCGATATCCAGACATCCCAGAAAGCCTGACTTCATCTCAAAACCCTGGGCTTGCTGACCGCAAGGCTTCACCTGCAGATCCCTGCAGCTCCGGGCTCAGATGGCTCAGACTTTGACCGAATCATTTCGGGATCCAAAAGCTCCAAAAACTGTCCCACAGAAAAACTTGACATGCGGGGGGAGCACCGAAACTGTTAAACAAAACGCAGGCCGCTCATCAGGTTGGACGAACTTCACATGTTGGGGGACCACACTCGTCTAGTCTCTTAGTTGAGGACTGGAACTGGAGGGGAAGAGACGTTCTGCGTCCAAGCTTGTTGCAGTAGACAGTAGACATCAGTAATCGGAAAGATTCAGTCATCAGAGTCGGAAGAGTCCCGGACGGGCCTTCTTTGCTTCCTTTCGCGGGGTGTGCGCATTCACAGGACTCGGGCTTCTCTGAGCCGGCCGAAGCTTTGCAGCCTGCAACAGCCAATGTCTCACTGTGCCACGACGGCAACGACACATCTTCCCCGCGACCTGCTTGGCTTTGCCGCTTCGCTGGCTCTGTGCACGCCGAGGTGACGTTGACGTACTCGGGCTGGCACTCCGGCTGCGAGCCTTCTGCGACTCGGCCTGAAGATCAGGCTTCTATGATGTCTCCCAAGAAGTTTCAAGGAAAAAAGCATCAGGAAAGCTGCCTCTTTTCCAGGGCGCTGCACCAGGCGCAGCGACACACTGGGGCTAAGGCTTCTGCTGTCCTGCTGCCGCTTTTACAGCTGAAACCGCATCAAGTGCAGCAGTTGGGATTGAATCAAGCCAATGTACGAAAAACGAACAGCAAGCCACTTGATTGAAGCGCCTGCTTTTCTCTAGATTGCTTGCCGGCAATTTGTGGTGATCTGTTGGAGCTCGCAGTTGTCAAAGCACCAGCTGCCTGTGCAAGATCACGTCTGCATCTGTTCCACAGTATTCCAAGCCAAAACGGCACACCTGAGAACGCTTGCCTGCTTTGCTTTGGCACCCTGCTGGCTGAGTGCGCCTGTTGGTGATCTCTTGGGGCTGGGACTCCAGCTGAGCACAGCCTGTGGACAAGCAAAGCAGCAAAGCAAGACAGCTCGTCAGACGGCAGGTGCCTGCTTTCCTTCCCTTGCTTGAGGTTGCGCTGCGCCGCGCGAGGATCTGCTGGGGCTGGGACTTCGGCTGTTGCTGGCTTGCTCCAGCTTCGATTCTTCGTTGGCCTGCACAACAGGAACCCAAGATGAGCCGCTGGCCTGAATTCTTGCTTCATGTTCATCTCTTTCTCCCTCAAGGAATAGGTTCGCCCTCTTGTGGTTGGCAATCACTGGCACAATACTGGAATGCGCAGGTATTCTCTGCTGCCGGTGATTTGACTTGTTCCCTCTGTTCCAGAATATTTCAATCACCACGGAAAGAAGCTCGTGTCATTGCTCCGGACCTGTACTGTCTCTACCATGCCCAAACAAACACTATTGGGCCTGCCGCAGGTCGATTCTGTCCGCTTTCTCAATCCTTGTGGATTCGCAATCCTTCTCCTCTGTCCTGCAGAAGCCCATCAACTGCCCATCAAAATCCTTGAAACAAACCTTGGTAGTATCTGCACTTGAGGCACGAACGCTGACATCCACTGCAACATGCGCCGACTCCGCCGACTCGCCAGAGTGCTCGGAAACCATACCGAACTTTTGCCGAACCAGGCCACCTCGCCCCACATCCTCTGCCCTTGAAGCCCTCCTCTCACTTGGGAAATACACATCCTTGCCTTACTCCTGCCCTGCCGCCCGCACATGCTGGCGGCGTGGCAGAATGTGGCAGAAATCACAGCTTTGCACTCAAAACGCAGTGAGCACCCCACCTCGGGGATTTCGACTTGGGCCTGGTGGCCATGGCACTGGCCATTCTGAGCATCTCCGAACCTGATGCACCGTGCAATCTGCATCATGATCCTGATCACGGCCAAAGGGAAGGGCACAGCGTTGAGTAGTGCCAGGCAACGCTGCGCAAGGAGACGGTCCCTTTCCGCGCGGAGGCTGAGTAGATCGTTGCCCTTGCGCGTGACGGCACCGGCGCCCTTCTCGGCTCGGCGCGCAGCCTGGACCACCTGTGCAGGGAGGACATGCCGGACATGCGGAAACGATGCATCTTGCAACTCGGCAACAACGACAACAACCACCACAACCACAACGCCGCAACCTTTGCTGCCACCACCAGAACAACAACAGCAACAGCCGCCGTAACCCACCACCACCACCACCACCACGACCACCACCACCACCGCCGCCACCACGACATACCCCGACTCCAACCCGACCACCCTCTCTGCGACCGGGACGATGCGACGTCAAAAACACACCACATCAACTGCGATTCAACCCCGGACCAGCCAATTAATTACAATACTCTGGCCCTTTCCCCACCGTCTCTGCCAAAGCCAACAAGCAAGGTAGTGCGAAGGTGCAGTCTGGAGTCCAAGACGGCCAAAAACCCATCAGCCTGCCGCGGCGGTTGCGTGCCAAATCGCATCGGAGGATGGAATGCCCCGTCTCCGCAGCCTTATTTCAACTGTACCGCTGCATACCGCTAGCAGGGGTGGAAAAATGCTCCGATGCTGCTGCCACGAGTGTAAACCTGGGACCGGCGCTTGGCTTCGGAGGTGCGCTTTGCAAACATGCGAGTTCGCGTCTTAGCAAGAAGACCTGTCTAAGCGGCATTGGGCACAGGATGTTACGAGCAAAACAAAAGTAAAGGTCCAGACGAGGAAAGGTCAGACCTTGACGTCCGGCGACTCAACCTTCGATGATCTGGCCTCGTTTCGCAAGGAGAACAGCTCCTGGTCCTCCGGAAGCCACGTTCTCACTTCCTGCGCAAGCCGGGTTCCACGGTCCCAAGTTTCTGCAAGTTGGCAGGTGCTCTCGCTGCTGCAATCTGCTGCACCACGGACAGCTAGCCGCCCCACACAGGCTGCCCCTGCTCACAAAGGTTTCAGACACTTTTTCCTGCCCACCCTGCCCCCCCCGCCCTCCCCCCTCCCCTCCCCCCTTCCCCCTCCCCCCAAACCCTCCCTTTCCCCCCGTTCACATGGCTTGCTCGTGAAATCTTTCTTTGGTACCCAACAGCTAGAAACACACACAAGCACGCAGTGCAGTGGCACCCGTTCCTTCCCATCTTCATCCTCCGCTTCCCTTCCTGGTGCCGCTGCTCCCCTGCCTCCTCTGTGTTGCTCCTCTCCCCTTGCTCTCTTGCGGCCGCCCGATCGAGGCGCCCTCGCCACCGTGAGCCGAGGCGGGCTGCGTAGTGTTCGAACTAGCTGCTACTAGCTATGCAAGTAAACGCCAGGATTCCCAAGCAGGCAAGCTTAGGACACTAGAGAACCTGATCCATCTGCAGTCAAACTACCTTTGCGCTTGCCTTGTCGACGAACACAAGGGACATATGATGGGATTTCACTGCCGGCCTCCTCAGCAGCGGTCTCCGAGACTGCCTTCGCGCCCACCTGCGAGAAGGATTGCTTGCAAGAAGTTTCCTGATAGGAGTCATACTTCGATGACCAAGCGGGCATGCTGCGAAGCACGTTGCGCAAGCTGTCACTGCCGTTGCGCACTCATCTTCACAATGGCCGCGCTTGTGCAGCGAAGGATCAAAGGTCTGGGATATGGGCCTGTTCTTCCGCTTACACTAGTCCGT